TTCTCAAATTTTTTGGTGAGAAGTTTGAGTCTTGACATAAGAACTTTTAAGATACCTTCATGAGCACTTTTAAGTATACCACATGCTACTTTGGCAACAATACACGTGTTAATGATGCAAAATGCATTTTTTTTTTCAAATCCATTGAATATGGCGTTGAGAGCACGAGAATTTCCATTAGATTCTTCATCTTCATCTTGGTCCAAATTTCTTCTGGCTTTAGGGATTGAATGGCGTCTTCTACAAAAACCATTGGGGGTGTCCATCAAAGATAAGTGGCCATTTTAAATATCCTCCTTCTTTAGCATTATCCATTTTTAACATAATGAATAGATCTCCTAGAGCTCACCCAACCAGAACAGGGTGCCTGTTCTGATGCCAATTGAAATTTTGTTCGTCTAATGAAAAAATGTCACACACAATGTGCTGAACAATGTGTATGTCAAGATTAAGATAGAAATAGATAAATTGCAAATAAATTAAATGAACACTAGTAATTGGTAACTCAGTTCATTGCAAATACATATACGCCTGAAGGGCGTTAACCCAAGAAAGGAAACTCACTTTTAATAGTAAAAGTACAAATTGGTCTTATTTGAACTCTCTTAGTTCAATGTCTCTTTTCTTAATACTATCCGTAAATTTCTATTTAGGAATCCGCCTGAAATCCTCTCACTTTTTATCAACCATTTCCAAAGTGTTTGGATTATTACAAAGTTTGAATGAATGATGAACCTAAACACAACTCAAACAAACTTTATCCATATACAAAGGAATGATTCTAGCGAATAGATTTTTGACAACTTAACAAAGAAAAAAACAAAGAATCATAAAAAACATCCTGCCTTGGTTGTTGTCTCAAAGTCTATGTCTTGAAATTGTATAACTTCTCCTTAAATAGAAAAGAACCCAGCTGCATGGCCCATTAGGATTTCTAACAAAACTTACAGCTGAAGTAAAATCAAATAGCGCAACTCAATAATTCAATTTAATTGAACTTTCAATCTTTTATAAACTAAATCTCCATCAATCTGATTTGGTTTTGATACTTGATCTTTTGGAGATCTTTTATAATTCCAAAAAACGCATAAACAATCAGAAAAAATAAGGAAACAAATCCTATGCAAAATTTACTTATGTGCAGTTGGCTTCTGAGGTATGATGTTCCTCAATGCATGAGACATCTTTCTCCACATCTTTGCCTCGTGTTTTGAGCTCATAGAGATTGGAAGTCTCAACACAATGTCAAAGCATGTTGCATTACATGTTGTCAATAAAATAAAGTTAATCACTTATAACAAGAAGGTGGTCTTGTAACCCATTCCGGATGACATTATACCTCATTATGGTCGATCTATATGGCCCACTTGGGTGGTATTGGTCTAAGAAAGATGGATCGCCCTTTGGCAGGGTATGTTGCCCATCTTACTTCCCATAAGTTATCCTTTCTTAAGAACTAGTGAACTTATACCACTACAAAAGATGATAAAAAAATTTAATAGACCGGGTTGGGGGTTAGGGTGGGTGTGAGAAGGGTACTAGCAGTCTCGCCCTCCCTATTGCCCCTTTAATTAAAAATTGGGTTTTCCCCGCACCCACCCTGCCTCCATTTAATCAATTTTTTCCCATTAAATTCGAGGTAGGGCAATCGAGTTTGGGTTTTTTGTAACTCCTAAACTATCAAAGATGCCTAATTCCACTAAGATATAGTCAATGATAAAGTTTGGCATTTCTATAACAGTAATTCCAAAGGGTTATTCATTCATCATGGTTTGAAAGCTCTACTAGGCTGTAATTCTTGCCTAAATCCCTAATTTTCGCCAGAAATGGGAAAAGGGAAAAGAAATGGTATCAAACTTGTACTTGTAAATGATGGCTTGAGCTTGAAATGTATGAAGGAACAATGAAGAATGCAAATGAGGCTTTCAAATACTTTGAGATGAAAGTGTGTGAAAAGGTGAAAAGGTTAGGGTTTAACCCTCTTTTATAGAGGTTTAAGGACTACTAGAAGTATTCAAGTGTCTCTCCCTAGGCTAAATCATCATTGCTCACATTTAATGACACTTGCAACTTTTTACCTCGAATAACATTTGAGGATTTCCATGGTTGACGTTTGGGGATTCCCTCAGCTAGCATATGGGGATTCACCTCATTGACATCTTGAGGTATATCCCAAATCAGGCTTGATGGATTCTCCCAATTCGGGATTCACCTTAGACTTGAGGGACTTGCCCCATGCTCGAGGGATTCACTCCAGGCTTGAAAGATTCTCCCTGAGGGACTCGCCCTAGGAATACCTAAGGGACTCGCTCAAATACGAAAAATGAATGCAAACTAAATCACTTCACCCTTTCCAAGCTCTCATGATTGAGAGATTGTGTGTTGGTATATTTGTAAAATACCTACAAGAGGCAATGTGGAAGGTTCATTAAAGGGTGGTGATGTACTTTTAGTGAGTACATCACATGATTGACTTTTTGTGTGCTTGAAGTATCTATTACTCTAATGTTATCCTATTTTAATATTTATAACATGATCCTCATTATAAGAAATTATTCGAGAGAGTGGTTGGATGAAGCAAATGAGAGATAACTTACGTTCATGGTAGACTTAATTCGACCTACAAATTATTTGTTGTGTATGTATTACAGGTGTATACTGATTGTGGTTTAAACACATGTATATTTATTGTTATGAAGGCACATTATGGTATTTTTTAATATATATGTGATGAATATATTTTATAATCACTTGTTAGCCCTTTTATTTAAGAATTCTCATGTTAAGTTTGTTAGGAGACAAGTCAATGAGGTTGCTCACGCTTTGATTCAGACGGCTCCATCTCTTGTTAGTTTCCAAATTTTTAATGATATACCAACATGTATTTAAAGTCTTATTTTTAATGAAATTAATTGAGTTTTTTCTGTCAAAAAATATGTAATGAATATTTTAGATGTAATGTATATTAGTTGTTTCAAACATGTGATGTATATTAATTGTGTGTCTCCGAAATGCTTTATTGTATTTTTTTTTAAGAAATACATTGTTTTTTTATAAAAAACGCGGTCCTTTTTAAAATTTAACCACACTATTGAAAAATTATTGTTGTTTTTCAGCCAACAAAAAATAATAATAAAGTTTAACAACCTTATTTTCCATCTTACTAGAACGCTGTAAAAGCATTTTCGTTTTTTTGAGACCTCTTTAAGAGCAATAATTTTAACAGCGTTCTTGAAAGCAAATAAAAACGCTCTTAAAGATTAAATCTTGGGTAACGACCTTTGGATTTGTGGAAATGACACTTTCTAATAATTGAATTACAAACAACAGCTTAATATAACTTTTCGTATACAAAAATAATTATGATAATATAAGAGGTACAATCTAAAAATATTACTAAAATACAATTAATTTATCAAATTAGGAAAATATGTTCCTATTATAGAATAGAAATGGAATAAGATAGAGTTCATATTTTCATTTTAAATATTGCTGGAATATAATACACACATGCATGAGTTTGATTATTATTGATGACACCTTTAGAATCTCTCCTTTGTCACCAACCTCCTGGACCTTTCCAATCCCGACCACTAATATTGTATCCAAATATATTATCATTTTTATTGTTATTATCTATTAAAATTTTAATGTTATCAACTTTTTCTTTTTTACTTATGCCTTGTTCACCTTCTTCCTCTCTTCTACCATCATTCCCTTCTCTATCTCTCCAAAAGAAGTCTCTCAGGTATCTCAAACCATCTGTTCCAGTTTTGATTTTGAATTCTTCTCTTACTTTAACTACAAAACAACAAACATATTTTATTAAATATAATTAAAATAAGAAGAAAAAAAATGTTTATACAATTTATATATATACTTTGATTCTCATCTTTGGATGTCTCATATTCCTTAATAGAGATGAAAATTATTAGTGCATAAATAAAGAATATAAAAATAAAAGACTTGATTTTCATCCTTGTTCTACTAAGAGTATATTGTAGTCTAATTTAAATAAAATCAATTTCTATTTATAGTGATCATCAAACAAGGTTTTTAAAAGAGGAATGAAATTAGCTTGATTCTTTAAAAAAATAATGTATAATAAAAATGATAATATATATTATTTGGCTGATAGTGAGAATAATAGGTCAAAAACATCTATTGAGTTATTGAAGGGTTTTATTGGAACGTGATTGGAAAATGATGTAAAAAGTTTTTTTTTAGACAATGACAAATAACAAGTGATTAAGATGTTTGATTATTTCTTTATTCGTACAAGTTTATGATGAATTACTCTAACATCTAGTACAGTTGTCCAAAATGGTTCTAATCCCAATTAACATTCTTTCAATTCCCAATCAAATTATTCTATATATCAAAGACTTTATGAAAAAGAAGATGAATTTTTTACCACTATGTCACTACCTGAAATCAAATATACCAAATTGCCACAACTTCAAAAAAAATTACACAATTGTCACAAACTCAGAAAGGGTTCGTCCAATGGTTGGACGACCCAATGAAGAGGATTTTGGCGCAGCAAGGGTTCGGCCAATGGATGGCCGACCCAGCTCTAGGTCTTTTTTTTTTTTTTAATTTCAGAATTAAAATGAATTTTTTTTTATTATTTTTTGTTTTTAATAGTTTTTTATATATTTAAATGATTTAAATAATATAAAAAATAATAAAAAAATAATTTAATTATTTTAATATTTTAATAAATGATATTTTATAATTTATTTATTATAAAATATATTTCAATAATATTTAATTATTTAATTGTTTAAAAAAAATTAATAAATGTTATTATATATTAATATTAATAATATATTTTTGAAATATTAAAATTATTTAAATTATAATATATATTAATATTAATAATATATGTTTCACATTATATAATTAATTCATAAATATAAATAATTATATAAAAGAATAAATTGAATCATAAAAAAAGAATATTATTAATATTTAATCAGGGGAAAAATACATCATTTTTAGACGGGCCGATTTGATGGGCCTGCCACGTTCGGACATTTCCTCCACATATGACCGATTTCTCGACAAATCCCACATCTTCTCTTTTCTTTCTCAAAATCGTCCATTTCAGTTGTAATTCTTGTACTATTTGGACGCCCTTTCTTATTTCTTCGCATTGTCTCGTCATGGCAAAGAGTGAATCCATCATATGTTGGCCAATTTTGCTGGTGTGGTAGTCCAAGGAAGCTTTGGCTGTATACTTTGAATACACTTAGAACTTTGAAAACATCTGGTATGTGCATTTTGTGGTCCTGTCGTATACTGGCACATGCTGCGATTACATGAGAGCAAGGTAAATGAAATGCCTGAAACCTCCCACAATCGCACCACCCTCTCCTGAGATCAACGCTAAAAGTACCTAATGGTCGGCCATCGCGTTGGTTAATGCATTCGGCAACCATAAAACAGAATCTCTCGCGATCAAATTGAATGACGTTATGACTGCTAGAATTAATAGCCTCGTCGGCCATTCCCTTGATACAGTTTTTCGTGAAAGTTTGACCGGATGCCAACAGTTTTGTCCAATCGTGTCCTCGTTTTCCAAACAGCGATCCCAGACGATAATACGTTGACTTGACCAATGCTGTAATAGGTAGGTTTCGGGTAGCCTTAAGTACCGAGTTCATAGATTCGACTAAATTTGTGGTCATGTGTCCCCATCGCTGTCCTCCGTCAAACGCCCTCGACCACTTCGCTCTGGGAATATTGTCAATCCACTCCAAAGCTGCTCTATCTGCTCTTCGTAATTCGCCCCTGTAGTAGTTAAATGTTGCCTCTGTTAGTGCATATCCTGAAAATAATTAAACAAAATGATTAGTAAAACAAAATGATCAAAAAATTATCAATAAAACTTGTGAAGATGTAGACATACCCATGTTGACAACTGTTTTTCGTAGTGCTTTGTTTCTGAACTCACGCATGAAGTTTTGCGCAATATGTCTGATACAGTAAACATGTGAAGATGGAGGAAACTGCCACCCATTTTCAGGATCATCGTAAGCACTCTTGATTGATGGATGTCGGTCGGATATTAGACAAAGATTGGCCTGGGGGGTCACGTGCATTCTCAAATTCTTGAGAAAGAAACTCCAACCATCCTTTGTCTCTCCTTCAACCAATGCAAACGCTATCGGAAAAATGTTACCATTTCCATCTTGTGCCACAGCCATTAACAAAGTCCCTTTGTACTTGCCGTACAACCAGGTTCCGTCTATTTGCACGATTGGTTTACAGTAACTAAAACCACGGATACACGGTTCAAATGCCCAGAAAAGTCGGTGAAATTTTCGTTTGTTACCCAACTAGGTTCCGTCATCTGTAATAATCGGCAATGTTTCCAACTGTATAACAGTTCCAGGAAGATATGTCTTCAGCACCAACAACCACTGTGGTAGGTCATTGTAAGACGTCTCCCAATTTCCATAAAGTGCTTCTACAGCTTTGATCTTTGCAATCCAAGCTTTCCGATATGAGATTCTATAACCGTATTTTTCAGCAATGTGGGCTTGTATAACTTTGACTTTCAGTGAAGCGTCGCTGTTAACAAGTTCTCTGATGTTGTGGCTAATAATTTCAGAATCTAATTTTCTATGATCCTGTGACATTGAGGTTGTAGTGCACGTGTGTGAACCCTTTATAGTAGCGATCTCCCATAATGTGCTTTTTTTACGCACAGCAGCTCTACATTTGAAGACGCATTGTGGGTTTGTACATTTTATTATATACCTTACTGAATCAGATTTATATACTGCATAGTCAAGGTTGTTACTAATATGCCAATGTTGTAAAAAAAGAACACACTCTTCCTTATTTTCAAACACCAAGCCTACTTCCAATTTTTCACCATTATGGTTTGGTTTTTCATTTTCAAAAATATAGATGGGTTGAGATGACTCTATACATATGTTTGACATATGCACTGGTGGATTGTACAGATTTATGGGTTGAGCATATATTACCTCTGACTGCATGAGTTCATCGTGACCGTCGTCATCGTCATCACCGAATAAGTCTTCAAAGCGAACATCATCGAGCTCATCGTCACTGTATTCACCAACCTCCTCGTTCCGGATGAAAGGTTCATTATTTTGCGTTATTTCATCATCAGTCGTTTGGCTCACCCCGTATTGATGCGAATATGATGATTGTGTTGGATATGCCTCGTCTTCAAGGCGAACATATAATTCAATTGTCTTCAACTGGGGCATTGTGTAATGACATTGAAACATTGATTTGACTGCGCTGTCTGTATCTATCTGCATCATTACGTAGAACACATCATCGTCTACCCCATTACGTATTGGTTGACGGTAAGTAATTTCCTGGACAGAACGATTCACTTTTTTTTCAATTCTATCTTTTAGATGACGGATATCAGAACTTCGGTGAAGTTTGAACATCACCGTATCTGTTCCGTTGAATGAAAAACCGATATTTTCATCAGTAAACACGGAACCGTTATAGTGCATAGTGACCAATGTGTTTCTATCTGCCATGACCAAGGTTTTTTGAAATTTACAGTATGAATGTATGAGTGGGAGGTAGATGTGCAGTCTACAACAATTGCATGTAAAATATATAGGACTAGCGTGCATGCTGAACAAGTTAAGGGACGTCCATTCAAAGGACGAACCCACACATGCATAGTAAAGGGTCGTCCAACCCAAGGACGTACCTATTAATTTTTAGTAAAGGGTCGTCCAACAAAAGGACGAACCCATGGGGAACGTGTAGGGGTTCGGCCAACAAAAGGGCGAACCATTGAAGAGGGAATTTTGCATGCAAGCCACTTGTCGTTGCATGCTTCTAGGGTTTGAACTATTAGGGTGCAGAAGAATCCATTAAGGCTGATGAAAAATAATAGGGTGCAGTATAGGGTGCATGCATGTGAGTTTCCAAAGGTTATTAGTGTGTATCACTACTTCACCATTTTTCTTATAAATACAATGTACATCCACGTTTTAAAAATCATCACTCCAACATATATCATTACTTACTTCTAAATCAATAATTCAATATTTTTAAATTGCAATGTTGTGGATGGGAGAAAATCATCGGGGAACACCGGCCAATATTGCCGCATTTGTATGTTATTTTTATTCACATTTCTGTTATTTATCTATTTGAATTTATTGATTTGTATTCATTTCAATCATTCAACAAGTTTGTATTTATTTGTTTTTATATTTGTAACAGTCCGATAGCGAGAGATTCAGACTACATTCTCATGCTATCGATGCACCAAGCAAAGAAATTAAACCGTTTTTGGAACGAGCTGGTTTCGCAAAAGTTGCAAAAACCTCCTCAGCCTAGATGTCTACGTCAACAACATGAGACTGATATGCCTAATACATGGGGAGATCATTGGCGCAATATAAATAAAGAAGAAAATAACGAGTGGAGAAACAGAACAAATTTGACCCTACGAGGTAACATGGTTAACGGTAACTGTGTTCATAGTGCTGAATATATGCAATGGTTTTTATCCATTCCATTTATGCACGCTTCTCAAGGTCAGTTCCTAGAGGACCCCCGTCAGTATGCAACGTCTTCATCACAACAAAGATCCTCTTCGCCCATGCCTCAAGAAATGCCTCAGGTGAACCCTTCACAATTTGAAACACAGACATCTTCATTCAACCAGCCAACATTCTTTGTCGCCTCCTCTCAACAACCAACACAACCACAACCCCAACCAACATATCAACGCACTCATACTACATTCTTTGCCACCTCCTCTCAACAACCAACACCGTACACCCCAACCCCACAAACAAACTACTACTATCGACAACAATATCAGGAACAAGCCACATTTCAACCTTCTTTTCAATTCACTCCGATCCCTCAGCCTAATTTTGATTTCTCTTACCCCCAACCACAACACCAAACATTTAACCCTTCAATGTCTCATCCAAGTTCATCCGGTCGCACCGACAATGTTTATTACCCTCCCATCCAACAAAACCCTCCAACCACTTTCACCCAACCATTCCAGTCAGCCCCTAACTTTACCCTAACGGATGATCAACTCATGGAATGGCCAGGTTTTTCGGTTACTGATGTGGACATGCTTGATACATCACGTCAACCTGAAAATGAAGAGTTGACTTCCAACTCTACCCCATCACCTCCAACATCACCTCCAATACGGCAAACTCAAGAGTTAGGCAGGGGGAAACGTGTGAAAAAGAGTACATTGTGTGGAACTGGCGGTCATTTGCGTAGATAAATATGATGTATTTTCTCCACTCATCAATATTAATAAAATATCTTTTTTTATTTTATCTAATTATTTAGTTAAACAATTAATTATATAATTTATTATTTTATATAATTATTTATCATTTTGTATATTAAAAAATATTAAAAAATAATTTGAAATAATTAAATTACTTATTAGGTAATATAAGATATCATTTAACTAATTTTAATATATAAAAAACAATTAATTAGATAATGTAAAAAACAATTATTAATATTTAATAATTAATTATATAATGTAAAAAACAATTATTAATATTTAATAATTAATTATATAATGTAAAATTTATATTATTTATATTAAATTATTTTTAAAATAATTAAATTATTTTTTTATTATAATATAATATTATTTAGATCATTTAAATATATAAAAAACTATTAAAAACAAAAAACAATCAAAAAAATTCATTTTAATTCTGAAATTAAAAAAAAAAAAAAAAAGACCTAGAGCAGGGTCGGCCATCCATTGGCCGAACCCTTGCTGCGCCAAAATGCTCTTCATTGGGTCGTCCAATGGTTGGACGAACCCTTTCTGGATTTGTGGCAATCGTGTAATTTTTTTTCAAGTTGTGGCAATTTAGTATATTTGATTTCAAGTAGTGGCATAGTGGCAAAAAATTCAAAAGAAGATAACATTTTTACATAGAATTATCCTTGATATGTGAGCCTAATAAAAAGAACAAGCACTGCACAAACAAATTAGAAAGAAATAAATATTCAAAGCATCAAGTGATTAACCTTTTTCAACTGAAAGCTAGTCTAGTTGTTTTTCCAACTTTGTTGAGAAATTGAAAAATATTGTAGGTTGTATGATTTGTCAAATCCAAACGTGAGATTATAGAATTTTATTTGCAATATCACAATTCAAATGAATAACATTTAATTTCTCAAAATCTGATTTTGCTTAGAATATATTTTCAGATTTATGAAAATTTGCTAATTTTCAAAACATTTTGAAATATGTTGGTGACTTCTATATTGTATGAAATCAAAATTTAAAGTCGATAATTTTGTTTTAATTTGTAAACCAATATTTATACACATAGAAACCTCCATGGACGAAGACAATATTTTGGAAAGGAACCATGAAGCATTACAAAACTTTATTGATGCATAGCTTCATGAAAAAGTGCCTCCCAACAACCTATAATTGATTACACAAACGTGTTAATCAATTACTACTCATTTAAGGTTCAAAAAGTTTAAAATTTATAACTAGTAATCGATTAGCAGAAAGATGTAATTGATTACTGCTCTGTTTTCTTTGAAAAATCAAGTTTAAATTGACCTAGCTCATATGTTTCTATCTTGTAACTTTGATAACATGTTAGCTTAAGTTTGAATCATTTTTGAGATTTCAAGTGACATGGAAGATGAATTATGATAAATCAAGATAAATACTTGATTAACCTTTGACTTAGATCATCCAATCTATTTTTCCATTGATCATTTAATGTCTTCATCTTTTTCTTTTATGTGATATTGTTGTCTTCATCAAAATCTAACCATGATCGAGAGCATGATTCTTGTCATTGTTGTTCTTGTTTGTGATGACGGATGAGTCTTCTTTATCGCCATCCACCATGATGAAAAAGTTGAGGAAGTTCAAGAATAGAATGAAGAAGATGGTGAGTAGTGAAACTATATATTATTCACACTACTAATATCATAATATGATTTGTGGGTAATAGCATTAATGAACTTTTTTATAAGAGAAAGGAATTGTCATATATATATATATATATATATATATATATATATATATATATATATATATATATATATATATACACACACACACACACACATGAGGAAGCTTGGGATGCAAGTTGTGAGATGTTGGATCGAATTCTAGTATGGTCAAAGTCTGTTCGCGAGTAATGCATGTTATAGTCAAAGTTTG